TTAAGTTCTTGGCGGGATTAACCGGAACTGTTTGTTTTTTATTGCGCACCCCTTTTTTGCACCTTAGAAAAAGTACCCTTTGTGCACCTTTGAGGTGGTGGTGATTGTGACTAGTTCGGTTTATCCGAGAGGAAAAAGCACTTTGGTAAGATTATTTCTCAGACCTAGCGCGCACAAGGAAGTGTTGATTTAAAACGGAAGTCAACAAATTGCTTTTATTTCGTATGTGCTCGCTTTTTGATTTACTTTTTGTTCTAGCCTACATTAAACTTACTGTCTGAACTTCCATCTGCGACAAACTCGCTTTATTTATCATTAAAACATCTGCAATACACATATTTAGACCATTTCGTTTATAAACGAACCCAAAGAGTTTTTTTTAGAAACACTGTTGGATAACAGTGAAAAATGACCATGTGCCGCCTCAATTGAATTAGCGTTAGCGTAATAATTACACCACCTGCTAACTCGTGGGATTTTGTACCTAATTTACTGTACGTAGGTAATAAAAAATAAGTTAAATTTACGGTCACTTACGACCAGGGTTTTAAATCGTTTAAAACCAAAGCACGTAGGTCTCTCGTAAAAACTGAACCTGGTTAGTCTCTTTCTCCCTTTGCCCTTTTCCATATCGAGCACGACGAACCTAAACAAAGCCGGCGTGGAAAAACGCGCCCGTTGTTCTTTCACCATTAGCATCTTCCCATCATTAATTCAAGCTAAACTTATGCGTTTTACGCGAAAACTTAGATCCTCGAAGAGATTTAGGCAATTGCGTTTCTCTGCGTGAATCTAAACGCAACACACACACCCCGGGAAAGTGCCACACCCTTTAGTGAGGATCTTTCCTGGGACGAGATCGGAGTTAATTCGAGAGTTACTAGGGCAGCGGGATACGGATTCGGGATTCTCTGTAATGGGGAGATGTTTAAACTTCCATAGTTTTATCGTGCAAGGAAGTTTTGTATCATTAAGCACGAGTGGAGATAATTCTTGCAATAAAAAGACGCAGATAAAAGTCTTTATACAAATAATTTTGTTTATTTTGTAGCCTGCACTGTAAAACAAATTTAAGATGTTTTGTACTTTTCTGTCGAACTTGCCCGCTTTGATCTCGCTTTCAGAAGGATCTAGGGCGGTTTTTGAATATTATACAGAGCGCCCTGTTCGTAATTGAATTTAACCTTTGGCTCGCCTTAGCGTATCTTTGATCCGAGGTTTCAGAACCGTTCGGTCATTTAACCATTTCCTTACATTATGTAGATGAGAATTGCTGAAAGGAAACATTTTTATTTCATTTCTATACCTAATACTTTTAAGTTACTTAACTTCGTTGCTGGCCAAATTGAGTTTCCGAGGGAAACTAAAAGGTAGTTTGGCGACGTTCATAACTACATTTCGTAAAAGAAAGGTTGCACTCCATTTGGCTTAACTAAATTTGGGCACACTTCACCTTCCCTAAGAAGTGCTTTGCTTTCACGTTAGTACTTTTTTGGTTCCAATCTCTTATTGTATCCTCATCAAGGCAGAATTGAACTACGATATAATGCCACAGAAGATTGTTACTGTACATATAAGTGTTTGTATTAAATCCAGGACCATCGGCCATCGAAATTCAGACCATTACTCGAACATTCTACATAATATTTTAACAGTAAAATACAGCCTCGAGAGTTACAACTTTCCACCGTAAGATAAATGCTGATAACGCGAGTGATAACGGCATTGTGTATACAGGGTGAAAATTTTTTCTGCAACGCTGAGCGTTTTATGATATCCAAAATTATAAGAAGTTGGCTTAGTCCGGGGAATAGAGACTGAAAATGGACCATTTCCTGCAAAACGAGAAGTAGTTACAACTTTTTTTGCATGTCATGTAGGAATACCTGGTGGTTAAGAATCCAAGTTTTCGACCTACCACCCCTTGTGCTTCCTCCGTACCACCCCTAAAACCAAAGAAATTTGGTTGGTTTTTTAGTTTTTCAATCATATCTTTTTATAGGTTCACTTTACAGAAAAATATTGTTATTAGAAATTGTAGAACAGCAAATTTTACATAGATTTGTCATATACTTTTTTTCGTAAATTATTTATTTCAAAAGATACAGAGTTTCAAAGTTTATTTTGAAGATTCCGAAATTTCTATGTAGGTACATATTTTAACGAAATTGTATGTTATCTTTATAATCATAAGATTTATATGAGAAAATAACTCGATTATGACCATTTCGGTACCCTTTACCCCTATCAAAGGGGATGATAGCGCTTCAATCCCTTGGTCGTAGTAGGTATTTGAATCACTGTGTGATTATGGCGCTTTCGAATACAATTATCAAGTAAGAAAAGTGGTCTTACTTCATTTTAATCCCTTCCATTTCTTACAAAAAGGGATGATTACTTCAATCCCCTATAGTAGTGATTGTTCAACTATCTAAGATTATATCGCTTTCGAACACAATATACAAATCATTATTTTATATGAACATGAATAGTAAACATTTTTTATTTGCAATGTGTATTCAGAAATGTCATTATCTAAGTGTAATCGAGCAATCAACAACCGAGGATTGAACCACTCATTTTAGTTGGGGGTGGAAAGGGTTAAAAACCGGAACGAGAATATGAGAAAATATAAGTAATAAGCGTTGTACTTACTCTCTAACTAGCTTATCAATCGCCACAAGGGGTTAAATATTCATTCCCTCCGGGGGGAGAGGGGGGGAGAAAGAAGCTGAACTGAAGTGAAACAATGTTTTTTTATTTATTATTAGAAAGCGCTACAATCTCACAGTGATTCAAATATCCCCACTAGCAAGGGTTGAAAGTTGAATTATTATGCATCCCCTTCTGTAAGAGTGCAGGGTAGGGAGATTTATATCACGATAAATTCAAGATATTTTCTCATAAAACTCTTAATTATAGAGATAAAGATTAAATTTTGGTTAAAACATATACATAGAAATTTCGTAATTCTTAAAAATATGAGCAACTTTGAAGCTCTATATCTTTTTTAATAAATATTTCACAAAAAAAGTAATGTATTGTGTAGAATTTTATGGTCTACAATTTCTGATAACAATATTTTTTGTAAAGTGAATCTATAAAAAGATATAATTGAAAAACTAAGAAACCGTCCAAATTTCAAGTGTTTTGGGGGTGGTACGGGGGAAGCACAAGGGGTGGAAGGTCGAAAACTTAGATTCTTAACCACCAGATCACTGTCTATGACATGCAAAAGAAATTGGAACTACTTCTCATTTTGCAAGTTAAAACCCTCTATTCCCTGGACTAGCTACCAATCTATATAATATGCACTTGTGGTCAGTGGCGTACTTCTGCCTGATCACGGGGAGGCATATTTTTTTAAAAGCAGGTACTAGTTTTTATGACATATTCTTAAATAGTACACTTTTTTGGATGTAACAGCATTAACAACTCATTATATTACATATCTAATCAAATTTAAGAGAAAAACTCAAATTAATAATAT